AAAATATTTATAAAAATTTATTGTTTTGTTTTTAAGAAATTTTAATCCGCTTTAAAGTGGTTTTGGGATGACGTCTGAACACACTATAACTTTTTAATGAATTCAATCTCTAATGTGTTTTCAGTACAATAATTATATTTTACGGATAGACTTAATAACATGTTTGATTAAATACATATGAAATATATTTTCTCTTTTCTTAATAAATTAAACCAAAAAATCAAACTAAACTTTTTGTGTTTATAATTACAAAGACAAGTATCCGGCTATTAGTGAGTCACTCCTTGTTTATATTGATGTTTATTGTTTTGAAAACAAACATTAAATTTTATTAAAATATTTAAATTGTTTTTAATGTTATTGAATTTATTTTTTAAACAATATTAAATACTAAATATTGTTTCTAAAATTTTAGTTAATAATAGGAAGAAATATTGTAAATTTATTTAAAATTAATATTAATATTTAAATGAATTATAAACTTACAAAATCTTTATTCGTTTAGTTCTGTTTGAATGTTTTCGACGAGTAAATGGTTTTCCATTAATCACTGGTTTATCAAATAATAGAGAATCAATTTCTTGCTCCACTTCATTCAATTCTTTCATTTTGAAATAAAATTATTTTATAATATACTAATTTTTAACAATAATATACAGTAATGAACAATAATGTAGTTAGTTATGTACAACACGGGATCAGTTGAATCTTCACTAATTAATATTTTAATTATAATGTTAAATAAAGATGTAACTATTAGTATATAATATTATATAACATAAGTATATGCTTTGCAACTTTTAGTATTTTAGAATGTTATTTGATTGTCAATTGATATTTTTAAGAAACAGTAAATGAGTTGACAAATATTTGAAACCTAGTCTCAAATTGTAATTTTAAAAACACACTATCATGAAATATTATATAATAAATTATTAATAATATAGTGGGTATTAGATATGAACTTCTCATTAAAATCGCAACAAAAACTTTTGTTATAAATGTAAAGTAAATTATGTTTCTTAAATTAATGTGTCATTTCATAGAATTCAATATAAATTTATTATATAATAACTTGTAATATATTAATTAAAATCTGACATTAATTCTAAAAGTGTTTAACATTTGCACTGAAATTGCTATTTTTAATTTCATTGAATAAAATTTTAAATCATGTGAACAACGAGTGGTTAGAAATCAATCGCTATATCATATAGTTGTTGAATTGAATTAATTGTTTAAAAAGTTTAATTAGTAATTCCTATTTAAAAACAAAGTAATGTATAATATACAGTACATGTATGTAAATATTGAATGAATTAGAACAATATATTATTAACTATTTTTAAATATTAATTTAATATAATTGTACTACAAAATACAACACTTAATAAATTAAAACTCAAATATATTTAACTATTAGCAATAATTTATTACCAAATAATTTGTCATTTTAGTACAATTTAAATGTATTAATAAATTATTTAATTTGAATTAGTTTTAACTAAATAAACACTAAACATATTTATAAATTAATATATTTATTAATTTACAACAAATGGTCAATTATAAATACATAAATTATAGCATTTATAAAACAATGTCATTAAAACAAATACTGAGAAAAAGAGACAACAATATATTTAGTTTATTAGAAAAACAAAACCTAAGGAATAAACAAACTTCTAATGAAACGAGAGATTTCTGAATACGTGAGAAACGATTGATGCAATTCCTCAGTGATAAACATGTGTTCACTCATTCACTTCTAAACGGGTTTTTCTGATCATTATCTGAGAATAATATTCCGATTCATTCATTCATTTGCTGTTCAGTATATAAAGAGTTGCGCTTTTATTTCAAAACTTATTACAAACTCACACTTACTTCAAATAATTGTATGTTTTACAATAAAATGTTATGAAATTAATTATTTATTAAATTAAAAGTTGTGAATTAAATTCAAATTTTATTTAAAATTATGCCTCTATTGAGAGCCGAATCTATTCCTCAAATACTCTCTTCGGTTGCGAAGAATGAGAATAAATTGTCAAAACATTATGTCATACCTATTCATCACAATCTGTTGGATGTGTCGGTTATTAAGCCTAAAAAACCGGTGACCGAACGGATCCCGGCGTTTGGTCTCTTGTGTGCCATTCTATCAGTCATTTGCTGGTCATTGAGTTCTTTGATTGTTAAAGTGCTCACAGATTTACATTCAATTCAAATATTAGTCATTAGGTTTGTATTTATATCATTGCAATACAATTTGCAGAACATTAATTTTAATCAATATTAATAATATTGTATATTTAATAAATAGATCAATATTTCAATTGGTATTCTACGGCACATCCATTGCGATCAACAAATACCCACTTTTTGGCGAATCGGGACATCGTTTGCATTTGGCATTGCGGGCCATATCAGGAACGATAGCGCTTTCATCGGTATTCATGGCCTACCGTTTAATGCCGTTTTCAGACGCGTCCACAATTCACTTCTCGTCGCCAGTGTTTGTCACAGTATTTGCATATTTTATGCTTAAAGAGCCCTTTACTGTCATTCAAATCATTTCCGGAGTCCTAACTCTAATCGGAGTAACGATTATATCGAAACCGGAATTCCTGTTTGAATCGGAGTCGACAGTCATTCACGAGCATCGACTGGAGGGCACACTTTTGGCCGCTTTGGCCGCCATTAGCGCCGCGTTTGCGATCATAAACTTACGAAAATTGAAGACAACTGCGGCCGCAGTCGTCGTGTTTTGGTTCGCATTCGCTGTCATTATTTTCGGATCAATAGTTCTCTTAATACTCGATAAATATGTATTACCGACCGGTGTTTGGACGTGGAGTCTATTGGTTGCCATCGGTTTGCTCGGTATTGGCGACCAGTATTTCTTGACGATAGCCCTCCAGAATGAAAGCGCTGGACCCGTCTCTGTGGTCCGAACCTTCAATATTGTGCTCTCCTTTCTTTGGGAGGCATTGCTATTATCGGATGCAATTGAGTGGACATCAGTGGTCGGAGCGACTATCATATCGTCCTGTGTTGTAATACTAGCGTTAGTCAAGTGGCAAACAGAAAGACCGGAATTGTTTGAACGGATATATAATTACTTGAAATGTTGGCCAAAAAATGATTACAATTTACAGACGAGTCCGCAATCGTTGCGCTCCTCAACAGACAGTTTAGACTCAACCACTCCTCAAAATACCATACATTCAAATACTATTCTTATTGAATGATTTTATTTATTGTATTTTATTAATTATTTATTTTTAAAATCATTCATTAGTTTTTATATTTATTTAAAAATCATTTTATTTATATTTTTCATATTTATATGTCTTATTGAATAAAAGACGTTAACATTTGTTCAGAAAAATAATTGTCTATTAATTTTTAATAGTGTTTATAAACTGATTATAAGTTTTAAAAATGGATTCAGTAATTGATTTAATGCACACAAAACTCAAATAATAAATGACAAAAATGTGTCAACGATTCCACGATTTTTTTAATTTCTCCAAACGCTCGTAAATTTCATCGTTTGTTGTCTTTAGATCTCTGATCTCTTGATCCGTGTCTTCATTATATCCAATAGAATCTAAAGAAGAATCGAGAGTTTGTTTTTGGAGCTGATTTTGAGAGATACTCTTATCTCCCGCCTGAGACAACCAATCAAAATAACTTATCAATCAAATCAACAAATTTTAAATATCCATACAATCTATACCTTGAAATAGACGTCTTGGGTCTGACTCTGGATTTGAGCGATGGATACCTTTGAGGTGACAATCAATCAAATAATCAATTTTTCATTAAGTATTTAAACAATTTTAATGCTATTATTTGATAACAATAGTGGACTTACTCTTGGAATCTTAATACAAGAATATAATTGAAAATGTGATAATAAATAAAAGGAAATGATGGCAAAGTGACCATGCCCATTCAATAAATGCATGTTTTATTTTTGTAATAGTTTGCATCTAATAACAGATGGTTTCTTATATTATTATTGGTTTCTCATTCATATATTATTTCAAATAATCATGTTTTCTATTAATTTGTATTATTTATTAATACATTAAAGTAAATATATTTAAATCAATACATTATAACATTATTTGCAATTAATTATTGAAACAAATGGTGTGTTTCGGGAAAATATGAGTCAAGTATTGGGAAGTTTTGGGAAATGTGGGGAAAATGTAGACAAACTGTACTCTCATAGCAATAGAGCACAACTCGTATGCATTAGTGAGCAAAACGTTGAATACATTTGAGACCAAAGCGTACGACAACGACATGTCTTCAGTGATCACACAAAAGGCCACCACTTCTTCAGCCGACCGGGAGTTGTGTCGAGTGATGGCCATAGTCTCGGACGCCAGCCATCGGTTTGGCATCGATTTGGACGACATCTGCAGCCAATACTACTCTATTTACGGCCAGACACTCGACCCCAAAGGGTCCGACTGTCACACCGTTTACCAGTTGTGCCAACGATTGGCCAAACAGTCCGATCACTCCATTGTCTTTGTGGACCACAAGAGCGTCGACTTGTTGTTCAAAAACGACCGCTTATTCTTCGACCAAAAGGCTTACAACAAATGGATCGATGGCTTCAAAGAGCGCTACGATTTTCACTTTCTTGAATCGCTGGCCAAACACCGCATCCCTCCAGACGTGCCCTTATGGTCGGCCGTACGGCTCCCGCCGGCTGTTGTGCCCAACACTGCCGTCTTTAGCCAACAGATCCAATCATTTCGCGGTATTATTCAATATATAGTCCATTAGTATTACAGTTATAACAATAAATGTATGTTTTGTTTTGATTTGTAGCCAAAATTGTTCACTTGGAGTCACCGGACCTGATGTTCATTCACCTCAAGACAAATAACTACTCCTATAGTCGACTCAGACATGGGCTGCGCTTTTATGACGGCACCGAAGACTCGGAATACGATTACGTATTGCCCAAAGAGTTGGCAATCGTTAAGTACTACTGCGCGGTGAAGAACCCATTGGATTGGGACAACTGGCACCGCGCGGTCATCACTCACGTGGACGACGATTGGGTCACAGTTTTCGCCTTTGATTTCGGCAATATTATCGTCGAAACGCGTCAAGAGTTGCGTCTATTGAAGAAGGAGTTCTTCTTATATCCGATTCAAGCGATTAAAGTCTCGCTGACGGGAATCGCGCCGTTCGACCACAACTGGTCCGATGAGATCATTCAATTCATGAAATCATTTGTCGCCGGATTTAAAGCGGATTACAATTTTGGTTGCATTTTCATCGACCTCTTGGGTGCTGAATACTATTCAGTGATTTTGCATCAAATGTTTACTATGAGAATCGAAAACGACAACCAAGTGATGCCTCTCTATCTGCACGAGAAGCTGATCCGCAAAGGATTGGCAAAAATGGTTTCTTATTGTTTCACGCGATACGGACAATATGTCGGACATAACGTCGGATACAAAGTTGGACTCAATGTTGGACACGACGTCGGACACGATGTAAGCCACAGATACGAACACTTTGACACCATTGAGGAACCGCTTATGGCAATCAAATGTGAAGCAGACTTTGACGCCTATGAATCGGCTGTGGTTTCTGACAAACAAACCGATGACGACGTGAAATTGGATCCGAAGCCACAGCAATCGGCTGGCGATCAACAATCGGATCCAATTCCTCCGGCGAGTGGTCATCAAAGCAGTCCAGAGTTCGCTCCGCACAGCATTGGAGCGCAAAATGTTGTGCAAAATGATCCAAAAGCGACAGAAGACAAGTTTGATTACAAGAAGTTATTCTTCACAAGCTTTGAAACGCCGGAAATGAAGATAAAGTCTTACTTTAATGACTTTGAATCCTTTGGTTTTACTCAACGCAAGTATTTCACAGAAGATTCCGAGTTTGTCTGCTATGAGCGCACAAATAATACCAAAACTAAGGCCAGTGTTGCCGTCGTCTCCAAATCAAAGCCTAAGGAATATCCAACTGTTCCCCGAAAATACATGACTCCAGAGGATGAGTCATATATTGAGAGAAAGTATTTCGTTAATGACTATTTCCCCTCCGATTACAACAATAAATATTTTCACGTTTAATACTGTAAACAATAATACTCTGCTTTTATGATACTTATCCGTGTTTTTAGATTTTCCCATAAGATAACACATAATTTAATTGTTTTGACCATTTTGTTAATTTCTGACCATTTGTTTTATTTGATTTAAGAAATATATATCATAATTGTTACGATAAATGTCTTACCAATTGTTAGACATGTCTTTAAATATATAACTTTTAATTAGTATTTTTCCATTTTTAACTTTCAAACATTTAATTAATCGTTTATTAATAATTCGTCAATAAAAATGCATTTGTTTCATACCATCTGTTAAATTAATACACACTTTGTTTATGAGTTTGTAAAATGAATTATTATTATAAGGTCTGGATTTTGGTGACACTTCTTAATGTGTTATTAATTACAGAATTAAGGAGCGAAGGAAATACTGTAAGTATATTACACACAACTGTCCGTTCATTTAACTAAAATTAAAACATTTGCGAGGAATTTGTTGTCAAAACTAAAACAACAATTTTAATTAAAAATATGCGAAATATACTACTAAATATAATGCGGTATAAAGTGATTAAATTTATTTTAAATTCAGACTAAATCACCGGTTGAAAACGCTTCCAAAATTGTTGACCAATTAGAGTTCGATGACGACGAAGAAGTGTTAAAGAACTCGAATGAAGAACTCTTTAGACGATTGCAAACCAAAAATGTGAGCTCAGCTCCCGATCAGCCCAAAGGTGATCAAAAGGCCAGCACTACCACTGAAGCGAGTACTACAACCACAACCAACACTCCTTTGGATATAAGCGTGAGTTTTATTCACCATTTATTAAATATGTTTATTGTTATTATGTTTTTGTATCAAAAATAGGATCACATATTAGAGCCCATATTATCACAATTGTCTCCTGAAGACAACCAACAATTAAATCTACCGACCGATATGTTTAATATGTTTGACACTAATAATAATAATAATAACGGTTCAATTAATAATCAGGAATTTCATACAGGGGTTACTGAAGGGAACCAAATTGACATCAATTCTTTGGTTACAGACAATACACCAAAAATAGATGAAAATCCTGGTTTAGTCGAAAGCCCGTCGCATCCCAATGAACCCAGTATTCCAGAAATCCAAGCAAATGCTAACACATTTGAACATCAATTAAATGATCCATTGAATGATCATATAAACCAGGAAACTAATATTGGTTTTGATCATATTCATAATATTCATAATTTCCACAATATTCACAATGAAGAACATGTTGGACATTTTGATGGAACCGAGAACATCAATTTTGAGCCCACGGTTGGCGAGAACTGTGCCCGAAAAAATGTGGTCAATACCGTCGATATCACAACAATGAGTCCATTTATTGAAACTTTTGCTGAGACCACTACTACAACCACTACTCCTTGTCCCCCTCCAGAGACTACCACTCCTTGTCCTCCTCCAGAAACTACCACTCCTTGTCCTCCTCCAGAGACCACCACTCCATGTCCTCCTCCAGAGGAGACTACCACTCCGTGTCCATTACCAGAAATAGAAACTCCAAGTCCTCCTCCGCCACAATTGATGGAAACAAATCAATTAAGTGATTCAGAATATCACGATTTAATTCACGACAAGAAATACTCTGTTATGTATCCACATATGGCGGCAGAAGAGGCCACTAAAGATGAACATTGTTCACAACCAACTATAGTCGCAGACAATGCAATTCAATATTATGTACCAGATATTGTCACAGAGACTACTACTACCACCACCACTACCACTACTACTACTACTACTACATCCAAACCCAACTGTGAAACTGGTATTGAGGTAAACTTGGATGAGGACAGATGCAATGATTTAAATCTTGGTCAACTGATAATAAGATTAAAACGGTTATCGCAAAACAAATACTATTTAGATTTAGTTCAAAGATTTACTAATGAAATCAATAATATGAGAAATCCTAATTACCAGTTAACTGCAAAAAGCAATCAAAACCAATTACAGACGAGAATTCCTATCAAAACAGACCGAAGTATTGGACAGAAACCTATCATAAAATTTATAAACCAGCCTGTACAGCCAGCATTTGGGCAACAAACTATGTCCAACGTTGTGGGCAATGTTAGGAATCAAGCGCATGTTTATCCCATACCCAACACAAGGGCATCCAATTTAAACAATCAAATGAATTTTAAACGTCAACGGAATGACAGAATTAGAGCCAATATTAATGTCAGGCTTCAACCAAATAGAAATTTTGTAGCTTATAATCCTTTGGCTATAAGACAACCAAAAGCAGATCAATCGATACAATATAATTATATGAGAAATCGAGGCATTTCTCCCCTTATTTCCAATAAATTACAGAATTTGCAACAAAAACCCCAAATGCCCAACAATTTTGCACAAATGCCCATAAATTCTGCACAAATTTCCATAAATTCTGCACAAATTCCCATTAATTTTGCACAAAATTCTATCAATTTTGCACAAAATCCCATAAATTATGCACAAATTCAGTCGGTTAATAATCCAGTCCCTAATAGACAACAATCGGTGCCTATGAGTGTTCGCCCAAATAATAATAGATATCGGATGCCAAATGGATTACCGGTACAAATGCAGCTAAACGTACAGACATCGCACGGAGCGCTATATTATCCGCCAAATTGGCAGAAAAGAGAGAGAATTGCGTTTCAAAAGCCGATTCCTCCCAAAAAATTGGCACCAGTTATGAGACAACCAGCGATGAAAACAAGTCAGGTATCGCCCAAATATTCTCCACCGACATCTAATGTCCAGACAAATGTGCCGTCTATTCAGAGACCTAATCCCACAGCAATGCAAATGACAAATGCAAACATTTATAATAAACAACGCTATAATCTAAACGCAAATCAAATCAATCAATTGCGACAACAATTGCACAGACAAATGTGCCGTCTATTCAGAGACCTAATCCCACAGCAATGCAAATGACAAATGCAAACATTTATAATAAACAACGCTATAATCTAAACGCAAATCAAATCAATCAATTGCGACAACAATTTCTAAAGAATTCAATGAGAAGTGATCCGAGTCTTCAGAATTTACAGATCTATTTAAACCAACAAAAGCTAAGAAACCTTCGTCTCAGACAATTGCAACTCAATAGAGCACAAACTCAACAAAACTTAATCAATATGAGAAAACCCGTGCAATGGACACAACCAGCGCCAACATATATGGCTCAACAGAGAGCCAACACTTTACCGATGAATCAAATGAACGTTCAGTATAGAGACAACACTTTTAACCCAAATATGTTATNGCAACTCAATAGAGCACAAACTCAACAAAACTTAATCAATATGAGAAAACCCGTGCAATGGACACAACCAGCGCCAACATATATGGCTCAACAGAGAGCCAACACTTTACCGATGAATCAAATGAACATTCAGTATAGAGACAACACTTTTAACCCAAATATGTTATAGATATAACAAATTATTATTATTCAATGTATTACTGTATACGGCGTATACTCTACGCAAATACCAATTAAAATAAATAGTATATTGTTTAAATAAAAATTACATTTGAAAAATGAAACCAAAAATAGCACTTTATTCACAACTATGAAGCGTTACCAATTATAATAGCATTAATTTATAACTAGATTAAAATACATAAATTCTGAATTGGGAGACATTAAGAGTTTTTTACGGAACCAAATTGGGGTCAATTACAACGATGTAATTGTTTATTTTCCGGCTCCTCCTCCAGTGCCATAAGCAGATCCGGCACCCGTTCCTCCGTAGCCGCTACTTCCACCGCCGCCGCCACCGCCCACTCCGACGGCCACTCCGACACCTCCACCGCCTCCCGAACCGCCTCCGTTACCACTGGTCGCAGAGACCGTTGCACTCGAGCCGTTACCCTGGCTTTGGGCCACACATATAAGTGCAAACATTATGACAAATACTTTAAGCATTTTGACCGCTATTCACGTATTGTAAAGTCTCAACAAATAAAATGTAATTCTTGTGGTAATTTAAAACCAGGAATTGAATCCTTTTATACCTTAAATCA